ATCTTCCAATTAGCTTATGAAATCAGAAATGGCATAAGGCATCACATGGTGAAAATCTTAAGTAAATCGAATAATAATTGCCACTTTTATAGACCAAAAAACCTTGAAAAGTGACTTGTAGAAAATCGTCTATTTCTCTGCAACCGTACAAGTTAGAAACCATTTTTTGGTATCTGTATGATCGTGTGGGTGTAATCTATTTATTGATTGGAAACAAATATCATTATTTTAAAAACAATACAAATCAGACTCATTTGAATAAAATATCTGTTTTTAAGGCTAAAAATACAGTTTTTGCCAAAATGACGTTACTTCCTGTGATAATGAAAACCTTAAATTACTTGTATGAATTCGTAAATGGCATTGGGTATCACACGGTGAAAAATTTATGAAAATCGAATAATAATTGCCACTTCTATGGAACAAAAACCTTGAAAAGTTGCCTGTTGAAAATCGTTTATTTCTCCGCAACTGAACAAGTTAGAAACCATTTTGTGATATCTACATGTATATGATCGTATGGGTTCATTCTATTAGTTGATTGGAATCAAATATCAAAATTTTAAACAAATAACAGATACGACTCATTTGAATAAATTATTTGTTTCAAAGGCTATCAATACAGTTTTTGCCCAAATGACGTCATTTCCGGTGACATTGAAAATGTTAGATTGGTTTGACCTAGTTAAAATTGACATTACGCATCAAATGGTGTCATTTTTATGAAAATGCAATAATAATTGATTCTTTTACAGGCAAATTAGCGTAAATAGTGACTCATGCAAAATTGCCCATTTCTCGGCAACTGCTCATATTACGGGGCACACCCTTTCAGTCATACCAGATTTGAAAAAAATAATATTTGCTTTCAAAAAGTGGTACCGAACTGTCAAAAATTGTAGTTTTTGCTAACTTTACGTCATTTCAGTTGCCGAAAGGCAACTTTATCGGTAACAAAAACCAGCGGCTGCCAAGCAGGATACGCCCACATTTTCGAGAGATGGATAGAGAACAAGCTAAAAAGAAAGTGATTTTTCCTACAATCAAAGGCCATAATTCAGGAAATTACAATTCGATATGCGCAAATATCGAAAGGAACCGAGATCTTTGGGTTATAAACTTACATTTCCAGTTTCAACAAAATCGGATAAAAATTGTGACCTCTATAGGGTCCACAACCTTGATATACCATATTTTTACGCTATTTGAGAACGAAGGGCGGCCATTTTGTCTGTTAGTTTTAGGCCGATTTTCACGAAATTCGAACTCAGCCGTCCCTTAGTGCATACTAAAACTCAACCGTCCTTAGGGTGTAACGGTGATATAATAATACTTTTTTTTAAATCGAATAAAAATTATTACCTCTATAGGGTCCACAAGCTAAAAACGCGATTTTTCGTACAATCAGGGGCCATAATTCAGGAAGTTACGGTCCGATATGCACGAATATCGAGATCTGTGGGTTATAAACTAACATTTCAATTTTCAACAAAATCGGATAAAAATTGTGACCTCTATAGGGTCCACAACCTTGATATACCATGTTTTTACGCTATTTGAGAACGAACGGCGGCCATTTTGTCTGTCAGTTTTGGGCCGATTTTCTCGGAATTCGAATTCAACCGTCCTTAGGGTGGAACGGTGATATAATAATACATTTTTTTAAATCGGATAAAAATAATGACCTCTATAGGGTCAACGAGCTAAAAACACGATGTTTCGTACTATCAGGGACCATAATTCAGGAAGTTATGGTCCGATATGCGCGAATATCGAAAGGAACCGAGATCTGTGGGTTATAAACTTACATTTCCAGTTTCAACAAAATCGGATAAAAATTGAGACCTCTATAGGGTCCACAAGCTAAAAACGTGATTTTTCGTACAAACAGGGGCCATAATCCATGAAGTTTCGATCCGATACATGCCAATATAAAAAGCAGCCGAGATCTTTTGGAGATAAACCTATATTTCAAGTTTCGTCAAAATCGGATAAGAATTGTGACCTGTAGAGTGCCCACAAACAAATTGTGGACGGACGGACAGGGGCGACGACAATATACCTCCACATGAAAATGTGGGCGTATAAAAACGCAACCTGACTTCTGAGATGGCAATGTGTTCTTCATGATTTTCATTTAACTCATACTGCACGTGCTGTTCACAGGGATCAGCCCTATAAAATGCACCCCCATACCTAGTTGAATCATTCACACTACAACACCAGCAGCATGCCACGACTCACGACAGCTCAGAGGAACCAGGCGCTTGGAAGACTTGACGATGGCCACATTGCCCAAGCCGTTGCCAATCACTTCCAGGTCAATGTTCGGACCATCTACAGGCTCCAGCAACGCTTTCGGGTCACCAACACCAACGATGATCGCCCCCGAACTGGTAGACCAAGGGTTACCGCAATGCGGCAAGACTGCCATGTTGTGCGACAGCACGTGCAGAATCCCTTCACACAGGCATCTGAGACAGCACATGAGACAGAGGGAACACACGGAAGACCCAACAGTACCGATCCAGTGCGCCGATGTCTCACCAGAGAGAACAACCATTGCCATACACCTTACCGTGGACCGATCCCCACCCCTCGCCATCGACGTGAACAGTTTGCCCAACAACACCAGAACTGGCAACACAGGCAATGGAGAACTGTTCTGTTTATAGATGAGAGTCGGTATTGCGTAAAACTGCAGATGATATGACCAGAATATGACGTCGACGTGGTCAGCGTTATTCTGACCAATGGTCATGGAACGAGACTCATGGGGAGGTCCAAGCATAATGGTTTGGGTGGAATCGGCCTGAACCAGAGATTGGGTCCTGTGGTGTTCCAAAATCTTGGTCCAGGGAGAGGAGGCGGCATCACAGCAGTGCGCTACATCGATCAAGCTCTCAGATCCCACGTCATATATATTTCGCATAAACTGTGTACATTCTCGTAGTATACTTGAATCTAAGAAAATCTTCACCTTTATAAAATTGTCTAGTTAGTTAATTATTAGACAATACTATCAAATTATAGTGTATTTCCTTTAGCATATTTCTTAATAGTGAAAGAAAAAAAAATAGAACGTTTTTAGTAAGAGTATTCTCTCAACGGTATCAAGCTAATACAGTAATGCAAGAATTATGAGATCAATATATACAGAAAACTATAACAACAATTCATGAAACCATACAGGACAACAACAAGATCAAAGGGGTTTATTCTACAAATAACTAATTAAGTGTTAAGAGTAGCCACTGGGTAAAGTTAAGCTATTAAGTAGCTATAATGATAGATACAATACTACGGACAGAATGGGATAGTACCTACAATACAATTATGATATACCATGGTTTGTTTATCTGTGTGATTAAATGTACAATTAGACTAGAATAAACCACATGTTGTAATAAATCTAAGAAATAGAGTGGATATAACTGATAAATTGATAATAATATTAGAAAAATGAAAAATAATAAAACTCATAAAAAATTCACAAAGGTTTCTTATCCACAGTACTGAAGAATGAGTGGGGGTGATGGAAAACACATAATTTAGGTATATTTAATAAGTTCATCATAAGCACTAGGCAGGAATATCCCTGTGTCGCGGTTGAGGTCTGAACTGTTTCTTTTAATGTGTATGGCCTCAATAACTTTGCGGTTTTTTTCTATCGGTAGGTTGGCTGCCAGGATTCTATGCGTTTTAATTCTGTGTCCTGGGTTGGATTGTGTGTGTTGGGCCACAGCTGAATTGGTAGTAGAGGACTTAGATTTATGCTGACTGATTCTCTTGTCTAAAAGCTGTCTAGTTTCTCCGATGTATTTTTTGTCACACGTGCAGGTGATTTCATAAACACATTCTTTTGGGTTCGGTTGTTTGGTTTGGGGAAGTTTGCCACTGGCCTTCAGGAGATCTTTGAAAGTTCTTCCTTTAGAAAATGTTACCTGGATGCCTGTTGGGGTTAGGAGTCTTCTGAGGTGGTATGATAGTTTGCCTTGAAAAGGTATTGTTATTCTCACTGGTGGTTTATCTGGTTTAGGTTTGCTTATATCTGTAGGAGGGTTGGTGGTGGCTTTGATGATTTTCTGCACTAATTGTCGGGGGTAGTTATTGAAGTTGGTTAGAGAAGTTTCAATGTGATCAAGTTCTGCTCTGAGGAAGTCTTTGTCGCAGATGTTCACGGCTATGCGCGCTAAAGTGGATACAGTAGTTTTCTTTACGCTCTACTACCAATTCAGCTGTGGCCCAACACACACAATCCAACCCAGGACACAGAATTAAAACGCATAGAACCCTGGCAGCCAACCTACCGATAGAAAAAACCCGCAAAGTTATTGAGGCCATACACATTAAAAGAAACAGTTCAGACCTCAACCGCGACACAGGGATATTTTTGCCTAGTGCTTATGATGAACTTATTGAATATACCTAAATTATGTGTTTTCCATCACCCCCACTCATTCTTCAGTACTGTGGATAAGAAACCTTTGTGAATTTTTATGAGTTTTATTATTTTTCATTTTTCTAATATTATTATCAATTTATCAGTTATATCCACTCTATTTCTTAGATTTATTACAACATGTGGTTTATTCTAGTCTAATTGTACATTTAATCACACAGATAAACAAACCATGGTATATCATAATTGTATTGTAGGTACTATCCCATTCTGTCCGTAGTATTGTATCTATCATCATAGCTACTTAATAGCTTAACTTTACCCAGTGGCTACTCTTAACACTTAATTAGTTATTTGTAGAATAAACCCCTTTGATCTTGTTGTTGTCCTGTATGGTTTCATGAATTGTTGTTATAGTTTTCTGTATATATTGATCTCATAATTCTTGCATTACTGTATTAGCTTGATAACGTTGAGAGATACTCTTCGAAACGTCGCCCACATAAATAAGTAGCTGTTTTTCCATAAGTATGTGTTTTTGTGTATTATTTAATGGGTATTGTTACTCACTTGAAAATATGGTCATATAAAAACTTACATAGATTATCTAGGCACCATCTAGCACAGAAGGCCACTTCACGCTTGACATATTGTTCACCTATTAACCAAGATTCTAGTGTAACTAGTGGATTAACTGGCATCTGTTGCAATGTTTGATTTATTGTTACCTTATTTTCACCTGTAAAAGATCAAACTTTTATGTAACACTTATTATTATACAACAGTCCACACTTTTAGGTAATTTTAAATCCATACACAACCCCTTAAATTTAACTCTATATCTGCTTTGATTCAATAGCAGATAATGATTCTACCCTCAATAATACAATCATTGGTTCCCATACTTTTGTCTCTTTTTCAGTGCTTATCCAGTTTTTCACATTCTAATTATACATTCTACATATCTTCGTTTTCAGAACTTAACCAGTTTTTTATAGCCTGGAGATATGTTTCACTATCCTTTATTTTCAGTATATTGAATCAATATAATTACGGCTTTCCCCGTCCATTTTTTACAGTCTAATAAAAAGCTTTAAATATCTTCCATGATTTTGCTCATTGAATTAATACACAGTATTTTATATTTTTATAATTTTATTTTTAATTTTTTAATTTATTATTATTTTCTTTACACCTGCATCAGCCATCACTCTTGTCCACTTATACATACACACTTCTCGTTATATTATTATTTATCTATAGCTCAGGTTAATTGGATTTCCATTGACAGTGTTAATTCACCGATTTTTATAAATATAGCATTCACCCCCTTTTAATCCCTGTAAGAGATTTCTGTTGTGTAGGTTTAGTTCCTAACGGCCCCCTAATCAAAGGTGTTAAGCTTTAATTGCATTTGATTATTATCTTTGTTGCATATTCCGTATATATATGTGCCCACAATTCACATATTTGTATCATTTGTTTGATAAAGACGAGAGTATCCTCGTCGAAACGTCGTTAGTATCAAACTCAGTAATTGTATATCCATAAAATTGTACCTTGTGTTAATATCTTCAATTACTAAATGCCAGTCTCCCCAAGTCAATCATGGATTATTGTTAATCCTAATACCCACTACAAAATTGCAAATAATTAAAAAAATATTTTCCATACAAAGAAATACTGTTACAAAAACGTACAGATTGTCGTTTTCTTTACAATGATATAAAATTCAGTTATATAAAGTAGCAATTATATTACTATAAATAATATTGAAAAGTCAGTTCCACTAAAATTATGACTTTTTTCTGTCATGATAGTAAATTAATGTCAACAAATATCCCCTAAGAATTTTTTTGGTTTTTTGTTTTAACATAGAACACAAATATAGTCCCTCGTGTTGGCAGCAGTGTTCAAAGTAAATATAATTATAACTTTTAAAAAGAAAATATTGCTCCAAATAACCGTCACTTCATCGCTATCAGCATTTCTGCCTTTGGATATTTGGCGGGAATTGTCTTTTCCTTTGCTTCAATGAATCGAAAATAAAAATATATAGTTAAAATCTTCGACAATGTAATATTCCTCTATGTTGTTTTAAAATAGACCACAAATATAGTCCCTCGCATTGGCAGCAGTGTTCAAAGTAAATATAAATATACACAAGGTACAACAAAGTGAAACAAGGGCCATAACTCACGGCGTAATTAACGGAAATTGCTGAAATTTAATAGGCTTTTTCGTTTCACTAATGTAAATGATGCATATCAATTTCATACAGATCGGATGATAACTAGAGCGTTCACAAGATTCAACAAAGTGAAACAAGGGCCATAACTCTAGGGGTAATTAACAGAAATTGCTGAAATTCAATAGGCTTCTTTGTGTTACTAATTTAAATGATGCATATAAATTTCATACAGATCGGTTGATAACTTTTGTCGTTAGAGCATTCACAAGGTACAAAAAAGTGAAACAAGGGCCATAACTCTAGACAAAATTAACGGAAATTGCTGAAATTCAATGGGCTTCTTCGTTTCACTAATTTAAATGAGCCATATAAATTTCATACAGATCTGATGATAACTTGTCATTAGAGCGTTCAAAATATTCAACAAAGTGAAACAAGGGCCATAACGTTAACTCTAGATGTAATTAAATCGAGATCTTTGGGTTATATACTTATATTTCAAGTTTCAACAAAATCGGATAAAAATTGTGACCTCTATAGGGTCCACAACCTTGATATACCATATTTTTACGCTATTTGAGATCGAAGGGCGGCCATTTTGTCTGTCAGTTTTGGGCCAATTTTCACGAAATTCAAACTCAATCGTCCTTAGGGTGTAACGGTAATATAATAATACGTTTTTTTTTAAATCAGATAAAAATTATGACCTCTATAGGGTCCACAAGCTAAAAACGCGTTCCGATCTGCACGAATATCGAAAGGAACCGAGATCTTTGGGTTATAAGCATACATTTCAAGTTTAAACCAAATTGGATTACAATTGTGACCTCAACAGTGTTCACAAGCTAAAAACGTGATTTTTCGTACAATCATGGGCCATAATCTATGAAGTTACAGTCCGATACATGCCAATATCGAAAGGAACCGAGATTTTAGGGTGATAAACCTATATTTCAAGTTTCATTGCTTTCGGATAACAATTGTGACCTGTAGACTGTTCACAAACAATTGTGGACGGACGGACGGACGGACAGACGGACAGGGGTGACGACAATATACGTCCACATGAAAAATAGTATTTGACTAAATCAATGGACACTTAGGTTTTATAGTATAATTTGGTATTTTTCCATTGCATAATGCATTTTCAAGAAGGTATGCGCCTGAATGAGAAAAAACGAGTTTGCTAGGGTAAATGAATAGCATCCAATCGTACCAGTAGTTATAAAAAAGATGCACGGCCGAAAGAACACAAGCTTTTTTTATGTATTTTGTGCCCCCTTCATGTAAATATTCTTAATTGAAATAAAATATCATAATTAATATCATGGAAATTAAAATTGTAATAAACAACACAGACCAATATCTTTTGCAAGTCTTCATGGCTCTAGATAGATCTGTGTTTGAATCAGCTCACAAAATTTTGTTTGTATATTCGGTACTGTAGGTCTATTTATGTTAAAAACTTTTCATAATATTGAGAGAACTATTCATGGGGATAACACTACCATATGTCATTTTTGTTCTATTTTAAAAATGGAGAGAAAAATCTGAAGGACAGGGTAATTTCCGTTAGTTTCCTGAACCGTCAAATTATTTTTGAATATGCCATTTTGAAGGCATCGGTGTGTTCCCTATTCCTACCAAATTTCAAATTGATACATCAAAGAGTAACGGAGATCCGCCGTCTTGAATGTCGAAAAAATGATGAAGAAAACTTTCGCAAATCTTTGATGCTAATATTAATCGAGCTAACTTCCGAATTTCGAAAAACCATATCAGTCAGAGCCCAAGTGGGATTCGTCCAAAGGATCCAAAAATGAAAACCCGAAGAATATCCGTTGAGAAATAACCGAGATATCGGCAATCTGAGATTAATTTTTGTCCCATAAGTAAACACTTCTTGTTTGTCAAAAATAACCCAATTGATATTTAATATTTAGATCCACAGTGGCCAACTTTGCCTACGTTGGTAGAATGTTTGCACCATGCATAGCTTTGGCTGCAACTTCTGACTAAAATCGGCAAAAAAATAAATAAAATAATAACTAGAACTCCAAAGAGTACTGACGTTTAGTTTAAACAATATTTTATTCAATAAACTGAATTGGATTGAACAGGCAAAGGCCTATATAAGTTCTCTCCTAACATATAAAATAGTTAAATCTTATGTTTACAATACAGTGGTGACATATGTACAGACAGTGAGTAACAAACATATATACATTTTGAAGTGTAATTTTAAGTTTTAAATGTTAAAGTTTTAAAATCTCTTGCTGTCTTTTATGTATTTTTGCACTATTTCAAATATGTTGGAGTTGGTATTATCTGAAAGAGAGGGGTTGCCATATAGGATCAGGTCAATTGTAACATTTTGATTAAGGTGGTGTAGATTATTTTTTAGAATTTTTCTTGGGGCAGAGTAGGTTGGACATATGAAAAAATAATGGTAATTATCTTCGTCTGCAGAATTACACCTAGGGCACACTTTTGTGTCACTAATAAAATGTTAGAATAAGTGATTATTTAACTTACTAGCTTTATTTCTTAATTGGCAATGGATAATATTCTCTTTCCTATTTCCAGTATTATAATATAGTAGTGGTCTAATTAAAAGATACACACGTGAAAGGTCCAATTTGAATGTACTTAACGTTTGTGAATTTTTAATATTTTCAGGTAAGTTGTTCCAAAGTTTAATTGTGCAGGGAAAGAAACTATTAGAATATGAACTCGTTTTACAAAATGGTAGATTGAGGTTCAGATTTTCATTTCGAAGGTTATAATTTGATACAGACGGTTCAAATTTTTTAAAGGCTTCAGATAGATGAGTGGGACTTAGGTTATTCTTTATTTTGTATAAGTAAATTAATTTGTGTTTTATTCTGCGATTAGACAATGATTCCCAACCAAGCTCTTTGCATAAATTGTTTTTAGATGAATTTCTTCTAAGGCCAGTTATTATTCTACCTGCTTCAGTTTGAACACTTTCTAATAGATCAGAATCCTTCTTTGAACAGTTATCCCATACAATATCGGCATATTCTAAAATCGGACGAATAAAAGCAAGATATATTTTGTTAAGTGAAATTCTGTTAATTTTGTATTTCAGTATACGCAAAATATTTAGTCGACCACAAGCTTTCTGGTATATATTTGAAATGTGTTTTGACCATAATGCATTAGACTGAAATGTTATTCCCAAACGACAATGAGTAGTTACGTTTTCAACTTTTGTATTTTCAAAAATAACGTCTTATTGGGGTTTTATTGGGGTTAAAAGTTACACACCATTGTTTAGCCCACGATGAGATAATATTCAGATCTTCAGTCATAGAGTTCGCGCTACTTAGAGGATCATTATGAATAATGGTAAAAAGTGAAGTATCATCGGCGAATAGCCTTATGTTGTTAGTAATATTATCGGAGATATCATTTAAATAAATTAAAAATAGGAAAGGACCCAGCACACTTCCCTGGGGGACTCCGGAATCAGTATGCAAATAGTTTGATTTGAAACCTTCTAAAACTACGCATTGTTGTCTATT